ACTTTTCACACCGCTGCACTTATTGAAGTACATTTTGACCTACTAATTTAGGGTAGAATAAATAAGTTTTCTTGCTGTGTCTTTCAACCCAGAAAGCAAACATTCACTCCTTTATTTATAGTGGCAAAGGTCTGCCTCTCGCAGAGTAAAATGCACAGCATCCAATGCTATCCTGTGTAGGACTCCATATGCTGCTTCAAGAACAAGGGTGGGTTTTATGCAATCTTGTCCTAATCTTGAAGACAGTGAAGGACAACCTGTTCACCAACTGAACAGTGGCCATCGATATTTATATGCTAGCCTTGTTCACTACAGATCATCACTACTACTGCCTTGTAAATAGCTTTTCCACTATCAAAATTGCGATGGAAAACATCACTTTCCCACTTGACGAAGGACTGTGGCTTTGTGGGGGGAAAATAGCACCTAGCAAAGATCTAAATTCTCCTCACAGTCTACAGTACACAATTGGGTCAACAGAATGAGGAATTGCAAGGTAGCGTATCTTTCCATAGGTGCCAAAAATGGCAGCTGTGGTTTAAGTTGGTCTAGGAGAAAAGGTGACTTCCTGGTTTTAATCTGCAGACTGTCCCCACTAAGGTCAACTGCTTTTTCAGACTACAAACACCATCAGACAATCTGGATAGTACAGGAACTCCAAAATTTAAAAATGGCCCCAATTTTCTCCTGGGCCTGTCTGCAAGGACATTGAAATCTTGCAAGAGGTTTGCTTATCTTAACCTCCATGCTGCTCTAATCTGTAATCCAAATGGTTTACTAAACCCGAATTAACGGAAATTAAAAACAGAATAACTTCAGAAAAAGCCTCATTCCCATGACAGTGGATGTTCGGAAGAATAATCAAACCTCCATTCCTTCACCATGGGCCCCCCTAAACAGCCAGGCATTCTCCCAAATAGTAATACCAACGGCATTGACAAAATCACTATCAGTTAATTGCAGAAGGCAACTTTACTCAGGACAGCTTACATCCCTTAAACACCATCAAACTTCCACGTCTGTCTATCTCTGGTAAGAGATCACTAGATGGATAATGGCAAATCCAGTCTGGACAAGAGGCTGACTATGCAAATGAACCATAATAATAATACTTACAAAGTTGAGATTATCATCTTAACTGGGGGGAGGGCTTTTCCAGGAGAGCCCCCTCCAAAGGTGCCTGGGTTTCCAGTGCCCCACTGATGGCATTCTCTAGGCATAAGGATCCAAATCATATTTGGATCTCCTTGGTTCTGGCAGCTTCCTGAAACTTCAACCACAGAACGTGGCCTACAATTACATTTTAATTTAACTTTAACTATGCACATTATTTTTGCTGATCACAAATTTTCAGGGACTTATTTATTTGCCCAGTTGGTGGCCCTACCTACCAGGTGAAGATTTTACTCTCCTGAAACTGGAATAAAAAAGAGGCTTGTGATGCAACCAGCCATAAATATTACTGTAGAACAGACAGTTAACGTTGGCAAGCGAGTTATGAAATCTAGAAAATTCCCATAGAGTGACTTCCTCTCTATGACTTGTTTGAGTTAGAAAAATGATGGCTGTGAGATGCCAAAC